TTCTTTTTTCCCATCATTATCAGTCACATCGCTGTACAAAAGTTTGTTTTACTGAAATACAAACCGCTACCGCCCGCGCGTTGGCTCCAACGTGACTTTGAGACTTCTGCTGAGTGACTGTTGTTGTGACCGCCGGTTAGCTATATCTGACCGCTGCTAATACTAAACGTGAACAAGCATTTCAGCTACAAACGCTGGACTAATATATTCACGCTTGTGGGATAATATTTCGATCACCGGAGATCTGGGATACCAGGAAGATAGAACTATTCTTTGTGTGGTGGTTCAACGGAATACGGAACTACGGAATCTCCTATTTTGAACTGTGAGTCAAGATTTACTTGTATTTTTCTCTTTGTGACTTTGTATCTGGCTTACGTAAGTAATTTGTTCAGTTCACTAGAGACTCCATAGGGCCGTTAACCACTACAACACTAACAACACCCAAACTCTTCGTGATATGACGCCTTTCTAACACTAACAACACCCAAACTCTTCGTGATATCTTCGACGCCTTTCTATCAAGTCATGTGCTGTCCACCTCGCGGTTTGCGGCATCCTGAAGGAGGCACGGAGAACAACACTTGTCTCGGTAGACGGTGTTTCGGTATGTGTAGCACATGATCGAGCCATCCTACTCGATGATGTTGGATGTTTTCTCAGATTGAGGTGCTTGCAACACAACCAAACACCCGTTTTCTAATCACCTCGTTACTAACACGCTGACGCCATCCGCAACTATCCACACTTATGAAGCATCGGTGGTCGAAAACCTGAAGACGCCTCACATCCTCTGTCCGCAGAGGCCATGTCTCGCACCCATACAACAACGCAGCCCTTACTGTAGCCTGGTACACACGACCCTTAAGATCCAGCGAGATGCCGTTTTGACGCCACAAGTGACGCAAATTAGCAAACGTGATTCGAGCCTTTGAGATTCTTGCACTGACTTCATCAGACACACTTCCGTCAGGGCTAATACAACTATCGAAGTATATAAAGTTTTCCATAATCTCCAGTGATTATCCTTGAATTGTAAGGGATATTTTCGCAGATGGCACGTTCTGAAGCATTTTGAAGGTGCAAGGAGCATGCCAAAAGACGGTATGATGGTGGTCAGTTTATTCAACAGGGCTTGTGCTTCGCTATGGTCTCCAAAGATGAGGGCGTACTACAGATCGACAAGGCTCTCGCCAGCAACAATTTGAACACCGGGGTTTTGAAAACCGTCCAGTGTTCGCCTTATTATTTCATCGATGACGAAGTTGAACAAGAATGGGGAGAGTGGACATCCTTGTCTGACACCACTTTTTGTAGGAAAGCTTTTGGAGAGCTCACCATACACCCTCACCCGCCCAGAAGTATGTGAATATAGAGATCGGATTATGTTTACAAACTTCTGGGGCATACCCTGTTGAGCAAGTGTAGTTAACAGAACTGATCGATCAACAGAATCGAACGCACCCTTGAAGTCAAGGAATACCAGGATTGTGGGTCGTCTGTACATGTGGCGTTGCTCTAACACCTGACGGGGTGTAAAGATGTGGTCAACGCAGTCTCTACCCGGTCGAAATTCCGCTTGATTCTCACGAGTCAAGGTTTCGCGTGCGCCCGTAAGACGACGAAGAATCAATGATGCCAGAATCCTTGTCACAACAGGCACCAAACTAACACCTCTGTGGTTGCTACACTCACTGCGAGTGCCCTTTTTGAAATTGGGCACCACTATCGATTCACCCCAGTTGTCTGGGACGGTCTCCTTCTCCCTGGCTGAGGAATCCACCGCCATCATTGAAGTGAGCAGATGGAAGGTCGTCAGGACCAGCAGCACAATGACGCTTGAGTATATAAATGCATTCGGACACTTCTGAGACTGTTTACGGTCCACCTTTATGTTGAAGGCCAGGTTTCCGGAGTGGAGGTGGCAGATGGCCAGCTGAATTGATGCTCGAAGTACTGTGTCCAGCGGTCTAAAAGTTCTGCTTTGTTGCATATCAGGTAGCCATTTTTGTCCCTGATTATTTCGCTGACAAGAGGTTTCCGAGGACCAGTCGAACGAATCAAGTGGAACAATTTGCGCACGTTTCCAGCATTCTTCGCATCTTCCAGTTCTTCGACCTTTCGGGTCCACCAAGCTTCTCGGTCTGGGCGGACACTCAGTTTCACCTGGTGTCGGATGATGCGCCGAGTGGAATTGTGGTGGCGACCAGGTGGAATCTGTCGCCGGGTCTCCAGCAAGGACACGGTCCTATCAGAGATCCAATGCTTGGATGAGGTTGGCTGGGTTGTACCGCAAGCAGACGCTCCTGCTTTGAGTAACTCGTTGGATATTTTTCCCAGTGGCCGTTTATATCCGACACCGTACTGTCCGGCAGGCATTCGAGGAGCTGGTTCTGACGGTTTCGTTTGATTTCCGGGTCCACTAGCTTCTCAATGGCTAAGCGAGGTGCGCGCTTTGCGTAAACCAGAAAAGCAAAACGAAAAGCAGCACCGTACAAGTGCATGGTAAGAGTCCACACTGGTGTTCCAGAAGGAGCGACAGGCGGTGATTGACCCTCGTCAGCGATAACTGACAGCGATGTGGTCTATTTGGATTAAGCACTGGTTTGCTGGTGGGCACCACGTTGTCAAGCGATTTCCGCTGTTCCGGAAATTCATACTGCAAAAAAAAGTCTGTGATCGGCACACATCTGAAGTAGGCGGTCTCCGTTGTCCGTGCGTCTCGTGTCCAAATCAAGACGACCACCCAATCGGGCCTCAGCAGCGCTTAGTCTACTTACCTGGGCATTCATATCACCAGTAAGCACAACTATAACTGAGCTTTTGGCCTGTTGCAGAAGGGTACCTAGAGCGTCATAGAAACTATCCTTGACAGATTCAGAGCCAGTCAGTCGGAGCGTATGCAGACACAATAAACAGGGTGCGATGAACCTCACTTTCTCTAGATTCTCTCACAGATGCGCCAAACGAACGGGTATCCAATCAAGTAGAGACGCTTCCGCTCATTTGCTCAATACAAATCCCACCCCAGCGTATCCAACTGCAGCGGCCTCTGCACCACCAGAGGTGCGCAGCCGGAACCTGGAGTAGAGCGAGGGGGCAGACAGTTCGCTCACAGTACTCGCGTCCTGCGTCCCTGTTTCTGACAGACAACATACACCAATACAGAGGGAATCGAGTATACGAGCAAGAGCCACCGTTGACCTGCTTGCTTCAGTGTGCCAACATTGAATGTGGCTAAGTAGACAGGCTTTCGGGGTTTGAAAACAGAACGAAGTGTTTAGGGACTGAACTAGAACGTACAGAAGCTGTAGCTGAGTGTGATGCAGAGCGAGCGGCCAGCCCTAGAGCTGGGACCTGCGGAGAAAGTATTCGAATTTGGGTGGGGGAGGGTGAGAGAAGGAAAAAGTGAAAGTGTAAGAAGGGAGGTGTCAGCAGTAGCATGTTTTCGCTTACCCGCCCTGCTGTATGCAGCAAGTAATGCGACCCAACTGATGGCACCACACGACGGCCGATGTTGTTGGTTGTGTATGTCATGGTTGGAGGAGGGCTGGAATACTGCCAGAGCGCCCACACCTAGACAGGAAGGTCCTCTCCTGAGGGTCCTTTCCTAGATTGGGGTCCTCAACCAAAGCCTTTGGCTCCAAAGCCTAACCGCAAGGTAGAGGTGTTCGGCTGGAAATGCAAGCACATTACCATTTTTTACGGAACACGTCGCCATACATGTTCTAACCCCCAACCTGGAGGGCCAGGAGACTGTGTTCATCAGACCTCTACCCATGGACCAACCTGGTATGAGAGACTCTGTGAGCATCGTGCGAACACTCCCCAGTATAGCTCAATGGGTCACCGAGGTACATAAACCACCACACCACGGGAAGGTCCAGTCTCTTCGTGACGGTGTTAGAACAAAGCCATACGTATAAGCGACCCACGATCCTACTAATCTTGGATTCCCAAGGCACGTCCTATTAGGTTGACTTGTCTGTTCTTCATGACACGCTTGTCCACCAAGGAATGCCCCGGAAGTTTGTGAGCATAATAAGCTCTTTATATTCTCGGACTTCCGAACTTGTGAGAGCGTACGGAGAGCTCTACGATGGCTTCCGTACACAAAGCGGAGTCAGTCAGGGATGCCCACTCTCTCCATTCCCATTTAACTTCGTGATCGATGAAATCAGAAGATGAACGCTGCAAGGTCTCCAGAATTGGCATTCAAATAGCCTGTGGCGAAAGTCTTTTCGGTCTGGAATATGCAAAAAACATCTTTCTCGTCTTCGAAGAGAAGGCGCAGATGTTTTTGGATGATCTGACCAAAGTCATTCCGTCCTTTGGTATGCACTTCGCACCCACAAAGTGTAAGGTCATGCTTGTGGACGTGTAGTCACTGAACAAGCCACTTACAATCCAGGGAGAAGTACTGGAAGTTGTGGAGCGTTTTACGTACCTTGGAAGTTGTATTAGTTCTGATTGTAGTGTGACAGATGAGGTGAATGCACGAATCTGCAAGGCTCGGGCCGCGTTTGCTAACTTGAGACACCTATGGCGTCAGAATGGTTTATCCCTGAATCTGAAGGGACGTGTGTATCAAGCTACAGTACGGGCTGTTTTGTTGTATGGCTGTGAGACTTGGCCTATTCGAGCAGCGGACCTGAGACGTCTTCAGGTGTTCGACAATCGTTGTCTCAGAACCATAACTCGTGTAGGTTGGTGTCAGCGAATCCGTAACGAGGCAGTTAGAAAGCGTGTTTTCGGTTATGTAACGGGTACTTCCATTGAAGAATGTGTCCAGCACCAGAAGCTGCGTTGGGTGGGACATGTGTTGCCGAAAAGAGTGCTGTTTTCCATGCCCAACTCAGAGTG